TCCTAGGGGGGCAGTCAGGAGACAAGGAGCAGGGAGGCTTAGGTAGGGGGTGGAGTCCTGGGGGGCAGTTAGGGGCAGGGGACCCAGGAGGGGGTAGTCAGGGGACAAGGAGCAGGGAGGGTTGGGGGTTCTGAGGGGGGAAGTCAGGGGGCGGGAAGTAGGAGGGAGTGGCTGGGGGCAGGACTAGGGCAGGGCAGGGGCGGGGCTCCCTGGGTGCACACCCTAATGAAATGGGCTGCGCATGCCTATGCTTCCAGCTCTGCTGCCGAAGAACCAAAAGAGAGCTGGGTGCTCAGCCCCCCTGCCTTACTCCCAGCTCCAGGGGGCCTCTCAGGTTCCTAGATCTGGGGAAGTAGATGTGAAGGCAGAGAGGCCAGGGATCTCAGTTTGGCAGCCCTCTGACAACATTTTTGTCAATTTCATTTACAAAGTGAAAGTGAAAAAGCATTTTTAGTCAGAAAATCATTCTTAAGAAAATTTTTCTACCAGCTCTTCCCACACTGCCAATGTTGCCTGCTTTGCATTTAAAACAGTAAGTGTTGGATTGATTTACAAATTACATTGCCAGGCCCTGAAAGACTACAAACGCATGGGAGAGAAGCCATCTCCCTGCTAAAATCAAATCATATTTGCAGCAGTAGCAAGTAATTAAATTGTAGTTTATTTTACTATAAAGCCTACTCTGGCTTGCTTGGCAAATTAAGCAATCACTTACTTTTCTGGTAAAAATAACTGCCATTGAACCATCTGACTACCTCCAGTCACGAAAAAACCTATGATGAGAGAGAGCACTAACAGACAACACATTCAAAGCTAAGTCTCAGGCACACTCAGTAGTGCACTCTCCATGATTTCATTCTCCTTCCTGTTAAGGCTTTACATCTGTGCCAAGTCAACCAGGCCCAAATTCGTCCCCTCAGTTTGGCAGCTCAGTTCTATTGCTCTGCTTAGTCCCTTCTTTTTTTGCCCTACTCTGCTCTCATTGGCAATTCAGTTCTATTGCTCTGCTTAGTTCTTTCTCCTCCTCTCATGCCTGAAACAGCTCAATTTTTTGCACCTCTCTAATTAGTCTCCTCTAGACTCTGTCACTTCCAGCTGTTAGCACAAAACTGCTGAGACGGATAACACTCAGTGGTCCCTCTGTCTCACTGTCATTGTATGGCAGACAGAAAACCTAATACTTGCTCTGTTCTATTGTCCTGGGTTTTTAGTCAATATGATTTTCCTAGCCTGGATGCTACAGCTTAGACTGAGATACAGTAGGCGACAAAAACAACTTAAGTCTGGCTAGGCAGAATATATGAGAGAGAGAGAGAGAGAGAGAGAGAGAGAGAGAGAGAGGAATATAACAACATAAGAATGGCCATAGTGGGTCAGACCAATGGGACATTTAGCCCATATCCTGTCTTCCAACAGTGGCCAGTGCCAGATGCTTTAGAGAGAATGAACAGAACAGAGCAATTACTGAGTGATCCTTTCCTTGTCATCCAGTCCCAGGTTCTGGCAGTCAGAAGTTATGGGACAACCTTGTGCATGGGGTAGCTTCACTGACCATCTTGGACCATTAATGGACCTATCCTCCATTAACTTATCTAATTTTTTTTAAACCCAGTTATACTTTTGTCCTTCAAAACATCCCATGGCAACAAGTTCCACAAGTCAACTGTGTGTTGTGTGAAGAAGCATTTCTTTTTGTTTGTTTTAAACCTGCTGCCTATTAATTTCATTGAGTGACCCCTGCTTCTAGTGTTATGTGAACAGGTAAATAAAGAATGTATAGAAAGAGGGGTTTCATGTCACCAAAAGACTTGGGATAAACCAAGCTGTATACAGGTTTGGGAGACAGGATACGCTAAAGTGGTATAAAGCTCAACTCTCCACTCCCTTAATCCTGGGGCCACTGTGTGAAGGAATGGTCTCCCAGATGTAGGTGAGAAGAGCCTGAGGGCTGCGCTGAGTTTTGCAGGCAGCTAAGCAACCTGAGGGGCCAAACCTATGACCAGGGATACAAATGATATAGAGGGGTCTAAGTTATGCCCTCCTTGCACTGGTGACACCTCCCCCCGTTTCCTCCCCTCCCCCCCGGCTTTACAGTAGCAGCAAAATGGAGGTGGCATAAACGTTTTCCTGTCAACTCTACTCCACCGCAAAATGCATTTTGCATTGAGGAGCTGCTCTCAGGGCTAGATTCGCTGGTTTTATGTATGACTGCAATCTGCTGGCAGTGCAGTCCAAGTGGCCATATCACTCTGGAAGATCTGGTCTTCAGTTGTCTAACTCCATCAGCTGGCTAGGAGGAACCACAACACAAGTGCAAGGAAAGAATAATAATTTGTTCTCTATCAATTTAGTTTTGAGATGAAATAATACAGTGTAACAATAAACAGAATCCACATTTCCCAGGCTACCTTTTCTTTCTTCTTAAGAACGTTTGTCATTTTCAATACTCAGAAAGTAATTCATACAAATTACTGCCCTTATCTCTATATAACTTGAACTAAGTTTCTAAAGCAAGCAGCTAAGTAAAATATAATGTCCTAGCCTACCAGAGCACATTTATCTATTTTACAGCAACTGACACGGAGAGCAATTCACATAGACTAACCCTACAATCACTGACTGCACAGGGAGTATTGTCTTCCCTGGGTTTACTGATATCTATTGCATATTCATAAGCAAAATTACTCGATTACTAGATTGCACATACTTTGAAGGCTCTTGTGGGAGAGAGAGAAAGAGGAAGAAACAGGAGAGGGAGCCAGTGTCAGCCGAGAAAGGAGAGAATTTGATAGTGTGAAGTCTGAAGCATGAGCAGTGGTATTCCCATCCCTCAACAGAGAACAGAAAAGTAGTAGCCCAGGAGTTAGAAATGAGCTAATGGAGTGTGCCAAAGTACCTACATCAAGCACAGATACATTTTCTTTTAACATTCTGTTCAGACTGTTGAAAGAGGAATTTGTTAATTTGTCTATTCATAGAATCATAGAATATCAGGGTTGGAAGGGACCTCAAGAGGTCATATAGTCCAACCCCCTGCTCAAAGCAGGACCAATCCCCAACTAAATCATCCCAGCCAGGGCTTTGTCAAGCCTAACCTTAAAAACCTCTAAGGAAGGAGATTCCACCACCTCCCTAGGTAACCCATTCCAGTGCTTTACCACCCTCCTAGTGAAAAAGTTTTTCCTAATATCCAATCTAAACCTCCCCCACTGCAACCTGAGACCATTACTCCTTGTTCTGTCATCTGATACCACTGAGAGTAGTCTAGATCCATCCTCTTTGGAACCCCCGTTCAGGTAGTTGAAAGCAGCTATCAAATCCCAGCTCATTCTTCTGCAAACTAAATAATACCAGTTCCCTCAGCCTCTCCTCATAAGTCATGTGCTCCAGCCCCCTAATCATTTGTGTTGCCCTCCGCTGGACTCTTTCCAATTTTTCCACGTCCTTCTTGTAGTATGGGGCCCAAAACTGGATACAGTACTCCAGATGAGGCCTCACCAATGCCGAATAGAGGGGAATGATCACGTGCCTTGATCTGCTGGCAATGCTCCTACTTATACTTATTCTGAACTACAGATATTTTAAAAATTATTTGTTCAGCGGCACATCTGAAAACTCACCACATTACTTCAAGGCTGATTTGTCAGGTGCTTGGATAAATAGCTTTGAATTTATTTTTCTTTACTCATAGACCAAACTGACGTTTTGAATAAAAAATAAACAAAGCATGTAAGCAAGCAAGCAACAGAAGGTCTCTGTGATGGGGTGTTCATCTTACACAGGATTAGAAGGGGTTAAATTAACTGCCCAGGCTACGGGTGGAGGAGTAGCCAGGGAGCAGGGAGTTGATTAAAGAAGGCTCAGCTGGGCAGGAATAGGCTGGGCCTATAAAGCCCAGGAGCTGAGACCTGACAGGGCTTTGGGGAAAGGGCAGTGACTCCCTGGGAAGGGGGAGTGTTTGGGGGCTGTAGGAAGATAGTCTGCAGTCTCCCTGGGAAGAGGGATGAGGGAACGGGTTTGGAGCTGGTACTCCCAGAGAAGGGGGGGAACCAGGAATAGTAGAAAGTAATTCTCAAAGGAGCAGTGAGGGTTGAGAAGGCAGAGCCCAGAACTACTGAGCTGAGGGTCCCTGGACTGGAACCAGATGTAGCGAACGGGCCTGGGTTCCCTTACTGGCCACTGGAGAAGTGGCACCATCAGGGAAGCACAGGAGAAGTCTACCTGGGACTGTCTGCATAGAAGGACTTTGGGTAACCATGGAAGGGGAAAATATGGAGGCTGATTCATGAAGAGGAGGCTGCAGTTCCTGGAGTAAGATGGGTCCACAAGGTGAGAGGAAGGCAGGAAAGGCACCACCTGAAAGAGGGTGCACCAACTGGCAGAGCTAATCCCCAGGAAGGCCAGCAGGAGGCACCACCGTGGTAAGTGAACCCCATCACAGCCTCTCTTATCCCTATGCCCATAACTTGCTTCATAACTCTAGGGTTCTAAAAATACTTTGCCTGAATTAAAAAAACAAAACAAATAACCCCAACAACAACAACAAAAACCAACAACCCTAACCTTGGGTTTCTCAGAGTGTTTGAGAGTCTTTGCCAAGTCACCAATATTCTCAGCTGATGACGCTCCCTGTATGTTGGCTCCGTCTCCTGCCTCCAGATCAGTAACCAATGTCTGTGAACAGCTGCAATGGGACTCCTTCACTTTCTGACCAGATATCAGGTAAGTCTTCAAACCTATGGAAAAATTACACAATTAAAAAGTCATTTATGGAAGCAGTTCTTAGTTTTTCATTCTTTGATTTCTTAGATACACAATATGGATAATAGATTTCCACACCTGATGAATCTCAAGACTCATGATAAGGTAGAAATAACTATCATTTGTACACAAACCTGAAAAGTTTGGATAATATTAGCTTTAACGTGTTGGGAGTTACATTTTTCTATTGTATCTGGAAATACATGATCCTAGGAAATCCTAACAAATTGCAACAACTGTAGAGATGGTTGAAGGATGCATACTTTATTCTGCTCTCCCTCTTGTACTCATTTAGACAAAGCTATGGCATATGCATGGGACTAGAAGTCAGAAACTTCAAAATTCTAATCCAAGCTCTGAAACCAACTCCTTCAGTGGCCTTTGGCAAAATATTTATGGCCTCCTTTTCACAGATATTGAGGGCATGTCTACACTACAAAATTAAATTGCTCTAACTTACATCACCATATAGCCACTACAGTAATTACATCGCTTGTGTGTGTCTACACTTTACTCCTGGTGTTGGCAGTGCGTGTCCACACTGTCAATATGGGACGGCTTCTGAAAGCCAGTAACAGTTGATGTAAACAACAACACAGTGTGCATCGACCTAACTACATGGATATTGATTCTATACCTCTCATGGAAGTGGAGTTATTAAGTTGGTGTAACGAGCGTGTTACCTCAGCAGGAGTGAAATTTTAGTGTAGACATTTATAGAATAAAGTTGACCTAAGCTGCTTTGTGTTAACCTAATTCTGTAGTGTTCTTAGGGTCATAGATGGGTGCTTAACTCCCTTCGGTTTCGTCCACATCCAAAAGTTGTACTGATTTAACTAGGGGTATGTCTACACTGCAAATGAAGGCGTGATTGCAGCATACCTATGCTATCTTAAATCTAACTAGCAAGGCCAAAAATAGCAGTGAAGACATGGCATCATGGGCTTCAGTATAGGATGGGGTTTATGCTGCCACATATTCACTTGCCATGCTAACGAGATTAAAGCTAGTGCAGGTATGCCTACTTAAGATACAATCATACCTCTGATTGCAGTGTAGACATACCCTAATTTATAAGCCGAGAACTGGCAGAGATGCATTGGCAATTCATAGATGTTTTTGCCATTCTAGTGTTGGGTGTTCGGAAATGTATATATTTTTAAAGAATTGTATGTGCTACATGCATTTATATAGTTTGTCCAAAAATATTTTAAAAATAAGTAAGTGAGGCTTAATGGTCACTCCATTTGGTGTTTAAGAACATAAGAACAGCTATACTGGGTCAGACCAAAGGTCCATCTAGCCCAGTATCCTGTGTTCTGACAGCGGCCAATGCCAGGTGCCCCAGAGGGAATGAACAAAACAGGTAATAATCAAGTGATCCATCCCCTGTCACCCATTCCCAGCTTCTGGCAAACAGAAGCTAGGGACACCATCCCTGCCCATCCTGGCTAATAGCCATTGATGGACCTATCCTCCATGAACTTATCTAGTTATTTTTTGAACCCTTCACAACATCCTCTGGCAAAGAGTTCCACAGACTGACTGTGCATTCTGTGAAAAAATACTTCCTTTTGTTTGTTTTAAACCTTCTGCCTATTAACCAGCACTTCATGCATTTCAATACAAAGACTATTTGATATCCATATTCTGTGAGGATCCAATTGTTTTATTGTAGACTCAGCTACTTATGAATCTTATGGATTTCTGTAGCCTATCTATGGATTCCGGGGCAGACCTTGTCTCCCCTTCTTCTCCAGTCAGGTAGTTCATGAGCTCACAGACAATTATGCCTTTAGATGGGGCTCATCTGCATGGCCCCTCAGTGTAATGTGTTGTCACTAGTTCCCCATAAGCCACTGTGGTTTAACAGTGAGTTCTGACAGTTGCAATAGCTAAACCGTAGACTGGAAAGGAGATGGCTAAAGTACATCACCACTCTGGGCTTTGACCTCTGTCTAGCTTGGATGCTTAAGACAAGTGAATTAGCCTTAAATTCCATTATTGACAGGCATTATGAATGTCTCACTTAATGAGGAAGGGCACTAACCATCCCTGAATACTGAGGGTCACCTTTCTCCTCAAGAAACCATCACTTGACACTGGAATGCTTGTCCACTATTTCCCAGTTGCAAACTCACCCTTTCAAAGAGAAGAATGAGGGCTATTCAATTCCAGGTTCACTTGGAACAGCAATGATATCCTAGGTAAGTTCCAGACTCGATTGGGCCTTTAAACTGTGCTCATGAAGACCATGCATGATCTCCTGCTGGTTTTACATCAGGGTCAGCTGGCCATTTTGGTCATAGTGGACCTCTGAGCAACTTCTAATATGACTGACCACAGGCTATTGCTTCAGCAACTGAGTAACATTACTGGTGTCTCTGGAATTGTCTACCAGTGGTTCTAGTTATTCCTAGAAGATAGAAATTAATCTGCAATTGTGCATACTCATTGAGAAATGTGGTGTCATTAAAGGTTCTATTCTATTTTACTTTTTGGTCAAATAGATAAAGGCTCTTAATGAGATCATTTTCTGAAACCTGAGCTAAAGTATCATCATTATGTTGACAATAAACAGCATTGTATTTCTCTTGCCCTGAGGATCCTGCAATTGTTTCTCTGTTCTGGAAGAATTCTTCAAAAATACTGCCAGCTAGATGCACTGGGGCTGATTTATTCTCAACCGTAGGAAGACTGGATTCTTACTTTTGGCTAAAATCTGTCTTATAAGAAGGCTCAGTCCCCTTCATGTCCTCACTTGTTGGGCAGATTTTCTTCAGATACAGAGAATTAGGTTAATTTTAGCAATTTTGGACCATGCCTTTCAAATGGAAAATCATGTGTCTGATGTGGTAGAGAAGTGTTGTTGTTTTTTCTTCTGTCGTGCCATTCAAACCAGTTGAACCTTTATTTATTTCATGACAGTTTTACACTATCAGTATATCTGCTTGTGATAATGATTTAATTATTATAACACCGTGTTCACTTGACTGTGGGGAGGGCTGTTCTGTTACTTGCAAGTTGATAAAAATGTAGGACTTTAAAGTCCTTTTTCTAGCCCTTACCTATGTCTGGCTTGGGCTGGCTACTGTATATCTGACACTGGCTCCTTGAGACTTGTACTGATGGGCGTGCACTTATGTGCAGCTCTTTTAAGGAACCCATCACAATAATCAGTCAGCAAGCAATTACACTTTTATTATGGGAGCTTTGCAGCAGGAACTCACTATCCACTAAAATTTGTTCTCTCCCCCATTTTTAAAAGTCCCCTTAAAGTTGTTGTGCTCATTTATTATCTTCCTGTCCAATGCTTTTCTTCCCTTTTTAAAAATGTGCTGCCCCCCTTTGTTTTGTATGTTAGGGCAGTATTTTATTCTGTTTTTATCACACTATTTGTTTCTGTTCTGTTGTACAGCATTTGAGCTCTTTGACAATATTTTTGTATGTGTGTTATGTAAATAAAATTATCTCCAGTTTGAGTTCTGCATCCAACAAAAAAGTGAAAAGCCTGTACTGCAGTAATTGAAAACTTGTTTGGAAAAGCAGCTTCTCAATTCTTCACAACCTTTAACCACAATGGATTGTGATTCCTCTATCCCCATTCCACCCTTCGTACTTCCTATAACTGGTAAACCCTACAAACCAAAACTAGTTTTTGTAACATTTGACACTAAGAAGTATTTTCACACACATGGCTTTGTCCCTTATGTTTTAGTTCTAGGGTCTAAGTTTGTTAAAATAGTTGATTATTGGCCCTAAGAAAGGGAACCTAACCTATTAAAAAAACACCGCTTACCACCTTCTCTGTCCTCCTAACTCCCATCACACACACTAATCAGGAAGCATAATACAAAATGTTTGATTCAATAGACACACTAACACCACCATTCTGCAAACACTTAAATAAATGTTTTACTTTAATAATGTCAAAATTAATTGCACTACTCATATGCTTAAAGTGAAGCACGTGTGTTTGCAGGATCAAGGCTTAAGGAAGCAAATTAGATGGAATTCTTGTAATTATTTGAAAATTAACAAAAACGTTTTAAAATCTTTAATCATCATAGTACTTTCCTAGTTGACCTTTTCCACATATTTATTTGTATTGGTTTTGTTATTAAATTTCTGCCACCCTAACATAATGATACATGCTTTGCTCTATTTTGCCAGTGATTCTAATTAAAGTGCTTAGCAAGAGAGCATCAGTGGTCAATCTAATTAAAGATTTTTTTAAATCAAAGCTGACAAACAATGCTTGTTCATTTTGTAAAGCTTATCATTTATTATTTATTATGATTGATAAATTGATGAAACTCTCTCAAACCCATTATAAAAAGGCATCGTTTTCTCCTTTTTTCTCCCGCAATTCTAGCCAGTAACTACAATCAACATTTTATTTTGTCGCATTGAAGAAAAAAAAAAGGATAGAATACCTAAAATATTCAGACCAAACAACCCACAGCAGGCTTAATCAGTCAAGTACTGTAGCAGTATTAAATCAGTCTGCTACCAATAAGGGGGAAGGCTGTTATTGTATGTATAACACCGCAAGCATTTGGTGCGGTATTTGTATATCTTGCTGCCCAACACAGCATATATGAATTAGTCCGTCACAGTAAAGCAAATTCTACGATATGCTAGCATTATTACATTCATAGAAGAAACCTCAAACATTTTTATTAAAAAAGTTTCCTCTCTAATTTACTCTGTTCATTTCTTCTCTACCAGACCTATTCCAATTCACTGTTTAAAACAATGCCACTTCATGTGGTTTTACAATGAAAATCTACATTACCAAGCCTTCTCCAGCATCTTATTTTATCTCTTTATTAAGAGAGGAAAATTATTTCACAAAAAGCTCTCTGGGATGTCAAATATTTGGAAATCTGTTAATCTCTATATCATATGTTGCACATCTAACTGAAAGAACACCCTGCTCTAATTTACATTTTATTCTATCCTCTGAAGAAAT